GACAGACCACTGGCTCAAGAGAAGACTTCAGACTTCACTGTCAGTAAATGACCATGCCACATGCTAGGCTGAGATGTATAAATCTTCTAACATTTTTGTAAAGAGTACACCAAAGCAGATGGCCATCTTCTGATCTAAAAGCCTGGTCCACCCTGCATTGTCAAGATATATTCAGAGTCACAATCTACAGATAAAATGAATACAGTGCTAAATTTTTAGTCTCATAGAGATGGTTTAAAATACTGTATAATGGTTTAAGATAGAATTGACAAGGCTAAAACCTCTCTGGTTCTCTTTTGTTCTTTTGTTTTGTTTGTTTGTTTCATTTATGGAATTGTCTTCAAACCCTTCCTTAGAATATATTTTGGCTTATCTTGCTATTATCAAAAATCTAAGTTGGATACTCTTGATCTTAATTATTAATTTTTAAAAATTAACCTGAAATGAAAATAATGTATATTCACAGCATTAGAACGTGAGCATTTACAGGCAACGTGTTCCAAAAGAAGTCCTCGTTTTTCTTGTGAGTACTCTCATAATTTTTTAGTTTTCCTCTTGTTCACAAACTCACATGTTAGGATTTAGAATGAATACATCCTTGAGACTGTGATAGCCTCCTATGAGCCCCTTGATAAGATATCACAGACATACCCACCGAGTAAGAAGAGGGGACATGGGTCACAGGAGGCAGAGACTGCAGCTAACTCCCACCTCTGAAAAGCCTGAAATGGCTGTCCAGGGAATCCACCCAGCTTCTCAGGATTCCCCTTTCTGTGGCTGAGAATAGAGAACATCTCTTGGCATGCTGTCACAATGGATTTCAAGGATACATCGTACTCATTAGCTGTTGTGCCTTAACAAAACCAGGGTCCCAACCTTGAGACAGTTACATTTTGTGGGGGAAACTGCTCACGGCCCTCCTGAAAGAGTGGGGCAGGTGTATGAATTTTCCTACCCACATAAAATCATGATTCATTTTTAATGAACTCTCTAGAAAGTGAATGCAGCCCCTGGAGACCTGGGACCCTGGGATTTTCCAGACAGACACAGGTAGCAGGTGGAGGCAAATGGATGAAAGAGATGAGATGAATAGTCTTGCTGGCATACCCCTTGCTTGTGGAGGTCATATCATCCAGAGTCTCAAGCAGGCCTCACCTTCTTCTCCCCCATAAGTCACTTCCTAGGATCTCGGTACTGATATGCCATCAAACTCAGTGTCCATGTTCACTTGTAACCACTGCCATCCTGGTGAAGCTGAGAAATGGATTTTTCTCACTCTCCAGCTGGATATTCTTTGTTTCTCTTCAAGAGGAAGTCATCCTGGATCTATGACCTAGCCATAGCAGCCAGAAATCTACCCCACATAGCAGCTTAGAGGATGACAGAGTGCTTAGGTAGCTGGGAAGTGCTCGCTATAGGGAAGTATTCCAGTCCTAAGTACAGAGTAACACTTACAATTATGTCAGCCAGGAAGTCTAATGCAATGGCCAGATAAAGGGGAGAAATCTACCCATGTGTTTGGTTTCATCAAAAGGAGCCTTCCCTGCCATGTTCTAAAGTTTCTCTACTTCTATAAATGGTTGTGAGTAGGGTAGGACAAAACTCTCAAAGTTGATAAGACCTTTCAAAAATGGCTGGGGATTCTCTCAATCTTATTTGGAATCATTAAAGGTTTACATGTTTAGTTAAATTTTGTTGATTTGAAGGATTATAAATAGTGTACTGCACCCCCCCACACACACATACACAAAGATCTGGGTTTGTGGTAGCTTAGGAAAATTAAGTAGAACTCTCATTTTTAAAGTAAGAAAGACTTTTCCCACCAAGTATTTTAAAGATGCTGAAAACATCAGAAATAAACAACTATTTGTGCATAAAACAAAGCTCAATGAACCCAAGGGTCGAAAGGCCATAGTTCCCACGCTACTTATGCCACAAGCTCACTGAAGAGTGGTGCCCAGCACCAACTGGCCTCTGCAGGAGGAACCATGGTCTCTAAGCTCTCAGTCAGTGCTTCTGTTCTCATTCAGCTCCCAGAACGGCATTCATTCTCCTGTGGAGTACCGTTGCTACCCCAAATGCCTCTGATTTTTTAGCACATAGCAGATCACACATAGACATCCAGCTCTGAGTTTTAAAAGAAACATCTGCCAACAGGTTGAAAGGAGAAGCTCAACAACAAGCAGTTCCTTAGACAGGCTCCTAGTACACCCAGAGGACTCTAGACATACAATGTTAGTCCCACACTCTAGAGTCTAGAGGAGAGGCTAGCATGCACGATACACTTCTAGGCTTAGACAGAAGCATTCATTCATCCTCCCCTCTGGAGCAGACTTTCTTGCAAACTCTGCCTGTGACTTTGGGACCTACAGCTTACCCTCCAGGGAAACCCAGCCTACGATGTACTGCCTGGGTGACAAAGAGCAAACTGATTCTCCATGACTTGATTTCCCCACCTATAGGTCATTTAAAATCACTTCACCTAGCTTTCATGGCTATTGTGTAAATAACAGTGATACAAGTATGTATAATATCCAGGGTAGTGACTGGCCCTGTATGCAGAACCAACCCAATGAATGCTAAGAGGCACTATCAACCACTAGCCCAAAGCCACTGCAGGCAAGTTCCCAAGACAGGAGACACCTGGGTATATTTCTGTGAAAAGGGAAGAGCTCTAATACAGGCGAGAAACATCCAGAAACCCCTCAGAGTGGTTGAGGTCTAGGATCCTACCTCCATATCCAGGTAATTCAGAAGAAGCTGCATGCTGTCACCAGCCAGGTCTGGCTGGTGAAGGTGTGGCCTTTGTGCCCCAGAAATGCATCAGAAGCTTGTATGAAGGGAATCCCCATTCTTGCTCCTCTGGCTCTAGAGCTGACTGTTTTGAAGCAGGGAGCTAGCAGCTCCAGGTAGGCTTGGGGATGGATGGGAGTGACTACCATAAAATTCCTCCTAGAGCCCTGATAGTCCACATCTCTTCTAGGAGATTCTGACCAAAAAGGCAAGCAAAGTGACTCCAATCCTGCTTTCTTCCGGCTAATGCAGGATAGGAGAGGCTGTCACTGGGCAACCTAGGACAGGCTGTTCTCCTAGAAACTAGAATATGAGAAGTTCAGGCAGGAAGAACCTGGGAGCTGTCCACAGCCCCACACCAGCACAACCTTCAAATGCTTCCCCACCCACTGGAGATAGACAGGACTCTCAAAGCAAAGTGTCTGGGGAGATAAGGTGAGGAGGGCTGTGCACCTCCTCTCCTAGCCATGGTGGTGTGTTCCCCAGCCAGAAAGAGAGGAGGAGTTTGGAGTTAAACCCACGGAGGATGCTCTTTCTTGGAAATGGGCACACTAGGCCCCTTCCCACAAGTGGTATTGAAGGCCATATGGCTGGGATGAAAAGGATTCCTACATCCGCCAAACCATCAGAAACAACCAGGACCATTTATCTGGGGATTGCAAAGTGGATAGACCCACATCTCATGCAGAGGCCAAGTCAATACGATGGGTCTTCCTTCATAAGAGGACCTGTGCACACCCCCTTCATCTGAGACTCTCCACACACCCTCGAGTTCTAAGCTAAAGATCTTCCCCAGCCCAGCTCAGTGCTCACCCACTCCCTTCTTTGCTCCGCCCAGGTGCAAACCTTGAAGCATCAGTGGAAAGGTGGCTCTGGGTGCAGCCTCCGCCCTGTACTCTCCTCTGGAGAGTTGGGACCCCAGCCTATATGCTGAGCGCTGGGGACTCCCCTTTGCTTTCCACACACACACCCCTAGGGATCAGGTAGGAGTCTCCTTTCCCATTACGGGGACTTGGAGACATCCTTGAAGCCCCAGTGCTGTTAGGGACTGCGGGTATAGATCTACCGACCCGGTTGCGAAGATGAAGAAGGGGAGTAGAAGCGAGCGGGTGCCAGGTGCAGGAGAGGAGAGGGGCTGTGGTCCTCTTGGAGCCAGGAACAGCGACCTCGGTCCATGATCTGAACATTCAGTCACCGCCCAAGATGCCAACGCATTCAGAATGTAGCCGAGAGGTTTGTTTGTTCCTGGGGAGGGAGCTCTTTCTACCCTAGGCAGAAGCAGCCAATCTTCCTAAATACCCAGGGGCAGGAATTCCAGGAGCTGCTTCCCACCTCCTGCTTCCAACCTCTGGACCTCTCAGGTACCTAGCCCCTCCCCCTGTATTTACACATCCAGGCCGGCGCCCCCCACCCCCACCGGACTTTCAATCTCTTTTAAATCCCATTCAATGACCACGCTGGGCTGCCCCTTTGCCCACATTAGCAGAGCCTTTCTGTCCCCTCATCCTTAGGCAGATCTCACGCTCCCTCCAGCTGCCTCAGGCGTCCTCAAGAGAGACCTTTTCCTCCCAGAATCACTTACTTCACCCACCCATATCCGCACTTGCGTTTCCCATAGCACAAACCATAACCGAAAGCCACTCCGAGGATTTTATTATCGAGTTGGGGATGGCAAGCTCAAGTGGTCTGAACCCCACAGCTCTGGATGCTGACCCCGGGTGGCAGCAGCCTTCCCTTAAGTCCCACCTCTCCTGGTTCTTCTCTGCCCCTACCCAGCTGTGACAGGCAGGAGAAGCATCGCTAGATCCCAAGCCCTCCCTCACCCTGGGAACTGGAGCTGCAGGGAGCGAAAAGTCGAACTGCAAGAACACAGTGAGAGAAATGGGCAAATGCATTAAGGAAAGGGGAGCTGGGGGAAGGGCGAATGCAAGAAATGAACAGGCACCGCACCAGGTGAGAACCACACGGAGGGTCACAAAAGTTTGCAGACTGCTGCATGGCACCTGGTTGCACAAGAGCGAAAAGGGTCGACTTCTCTTCTCCAGGCAGAGTCTCTCCAAAGATCTGTGTCAAACGGACCAGGGATTTGGACTGTTACGACTCAGAGCTGCGGTGACGGTTCTCTGCTTTCCAGAGAGATGGCCTAGACTACCTGACTAGGATCTGATCCCGCGCTCTGCGTAAAGCAACAGGCGGCTGCACCTTACCTTGCGCCAGTCCTGGGTTGGGATGGCTGCTCCATCCTCGTGGCGCAGGGAGGAGGCGTTTGGTGCGTATGCCTAGGGGCGTGCGCGCTTCCAGGGCTGCAGCGGCCGCCACCTCCAGCAGGCTGCAAACTGGGCTGCCCACCGTGACCCGGCCCGCCGGCCGGGCTCCGCTCTGGAGCGACCGCCGCGGCGGCGTGGATGCGCTGTGGCCAGGGCGCAGGACGCAGGCTGTGCGTGGCGCGGCTGGCGTCTTTGCGCGCCGCCACCAAGCGAGGGTGCGGCCCCGGGCTGCCGTGTGGGGCACGACTTGGCTTTCGCTGCGGCGGCGGCCGCTGCAGACCCTGTGCGGGAGCAAGAGCCTCGCTGGAGGAGGAGACAAAGATGCGAGGGAGGCAGAAAGCCACTCGCCAACATGCAGGCGGCTCAGTCACTAGAGGGGACTCGCCTCCAAACCTGGGCTGGGGATGGAGGAGGGGCGAGGCTTCTGGGGACTAGAAGAGCTAGGAGTGAACGAGTGAACGTGACAGGCTATCTCCTTGCTAGCACCGGTTTCTGTCTTCTAGCTGAAGGGTCCTAAATAGGGAGGGGAAGGACTTCAGTGTTTGCTAAAGAAACCAGAGCTGAGGCAGGAGCCTTAGCCGCCTCCTCTCTCTAGCATCCCCTTGTGCAGTTCCAGGACAGGTTGCTACGGGCCCGTTTATTTATTTACCCCCCCCCCCCGTTTTCCTGATTACTAAACAGGGCAACTGTTTAACCAAGGCTCATTGCTGTCAACAGAGAAAAAGCAAATATTTAAAATTAACTCTACAAATGACTTCTTAGTGGGTGTCAAGTACTGTGCTAGGCTGTTGTGAAGGAAGATGAGTGAGAGAAGAGAGAGGGCTCCATATCTCCAACCCACGGTTCAGTTGTCCGATATCCAGATGAGTGTACCCTGAATTCATGGTGCCCAACATTTAGGGAGTCCCTGTCCCTCCCACGGATGGCTTTAAATGTGCAACAGAAATAGTCTCTTGAGGTGTGTGTGTGTGTGTGTGTGTGTGTGTGTGTGTGTGTGTATGTGTACTAAAGGTAGACAGAGACTGAGACAGAGAAATGATTACTGGTTTCCATAATATTCTTGTTTCATGACTTTAATTATAAGATCAGCACCAGAAACCAATTTAAGGTTGAATACCTAGCTTTTCCAGCCTCAACAATCAAGGCTCCTTCCTCCTAACCTCCACCCCAGGCCAAATGAAACTTTCTCTTCTCTATGCTGTCACAGACTTTCATCTCCCATCACTTGTAGGACTGACACACTGATAGATTTTATCATTTCACTCACCAGTGAGACCCCTTCCAGGTGCAGCATTCAACAGTGATGGTATCTGCTGAGTCCACCGGGTACAAAGAATGCTTGTCTAAAGATCCTCTCCTTCAAGAGCAGTGAACCCAGTGTCCCTGGAAAAAAGGACTGTTGTTGTGATGGAACCTCTAGGAGTTTATGAAGGAATCGGACAATAGGGCATACAGTGATCTCCACAGGCCCCTTTGCTGACAGCACACAGCTATTTCCTTCCTCTTTGTTCCTAGTTTATCTGCTCCCAGTGACCATCTCACTTCTCTGTTGAGTTCATTCCCCCGGGCCAGAAAGCCACAGGCTGAGCTCAAGCACAGGGCAAGTCAAGCATACCGAAGCTAGCACCCAGAGCAAACCCATTCCAGATGGGGATTAACCATAAATGTCTAACATTTGGTGACCTGTATCAAGCTTGTTGAAAGCCTGGTGACATTCCCCATACTTGCAATAATGCTTTCTTATTGCAGATACATTTAGAAGTTGGGCAGTGTTTCACTGCTGAACTCTGAAGAGGTAGGAATACTGGTTCTAGACACACTTCAAAAGTGAAAACCACTGACACACCTACCAAAAAGTCCCGTATTAGACACTCTTATATTCCATGGCTTGTATTTCTAATATTTCATGATGTGATTTGATTAGTCTGGATTTGAATTATCATTAACAGTGTTTTACAGTTCTAAACTGAGACTCTTATGACCTAGAAATAAATACATATGGACAGCAGGCATGCAATGTAGTGTTAAGTATTCTGAGGGAAATTTGACATTCTTATTTAAAGTATAAAATTTGTTTGTGATACTGCGCCAATGACTCTACTTCTCACAACTCAGGAGATAACTGGGAACATATAACCAGACTCATCTATAGAGGTGCTTGATAGACTGAGAGGAATGAGAGATGAATAGTGAACTATTTCACATGTTGAGTTGTTATAGATGAGTATTATCATGGATGAAGTTTAGTTGGAGGGTTCCAGAGGCACAAGAAGACACAGAACATAATGAGGTTCAGAATCTGGGCTTTACAGATCTGGCTTATATCCAGGCTTCCCAATTGCTGACTATACAACCTTTCATCTAAAGCTTTAGTTTCTCTGCTGTGTGATTATATTGATGCTGTGTTTTAAATGAAATAGAACTAATGTCCATAACGCATAAATTTAGTTAAACTTAAAAAATATATTCTGACCCTGTCTCAGATAACCTTTATGGTTTGGTTGCCTCACCAAGTTGTCAACATGACTTGTTGACTATTGGTGACACCCGTGCTATAAAAAGGATAAATGACAGGGCATGGAGTTTGTCACCTCTGCTATAAACTTAGATTTGTTTTGTAGCAACCAGGAATCAAGTCCAGCTCAGCAAAATATGGTATTTAATATGAGACTCTTGATTGGTTGTTTCCTCTGCTTGTGCTAACATGCAATTTAAAAAATGAAACAGGAGAAAGGACGCGTCTTGGAAGCGCTACCTAAAACTTAATTGGAGAACCAGAGAAGGAACTTAGTGTGAAAGGATCACGAAACTGACTGACCTTCAGATTCACCTTCAGGGCTCTTCTGCCTAAGAGCTGGGCCATTTGTAAACATTGTCTGCACACTCAAGGAATGTTACAAAGATATCCAGGGGATGGGATTTAGTGATTCTTTCTGTTTAACTTCCTTTAGGGATGGAATGCTTTGTTTCAGTCAATATGTTCTAAGAACCTTTGCATGTACAAGAAATTCCTTCAATTCTGCATCATATTCCCAATTGCAACATTTCTACAAAAGTGTGAATGCTTGACTCTTGAGGAGGTAGGGCTAAAATTTTCAAATTCAGACAGTTGGGTTGCCCGAAGTCCTGTTGTCTATGGAATGAAAAAACTCAAGGCATGAAGTTATTGCTTCAACAAAACCTTTGCTGAAGATATTCCAGTTAATGGGAAGCCATTGAAAAGCAATCTAAAGCTGGAATTTGGGCAAGGAGTTTCCTTAAGAGCATGCTTGCTGTAGAGCTCACCCTCAAGCAAAAGAAGGCTGGGCTCTACTAAGCTCCATGGGAGCTGAGGGCCTGGTGGTGATCTCTATACACACAGCTCTCAGGGAGCTCTAGGTTTTTATCATTGGGTGTGGCTTGATTCACAAGGACAGGGAGGCTCAAGTGTAATCAAATCTCCCCCAAATAATGAATATCTGATGATTCATGAATAAAAATGACACAGGCTTATCCAGTCTTTACATAATGTCATAAAAATTAATCCAGAAAGTATCAGCACACAAACTAGAGAATCATCAAATATCTGAATAATTTTGACAGTGAATCAACTCTTCCCAAGTATAGGGCTAATTTTATAAAGAATTGGAGAACTAGACAGTTAATTACATTAATAATATTACATATTGTTTGATTTTAACAATGGTTCCATATAGTAAAGACTAAAGTCCTTACCATGATCTTAAGGAACTCTGTAATTTAACACTCCCTGTGGTCTCATAAATACCTCTAGCTTTCCACCAATCAGTTCATGCCCCCTTGACTTGAAGGCCAGATTCATGCACAGAGCATAAACTTGCTACAAGCTTACTGAAAAGCTGAACAATCTGGAATCCCTTACCTTTCCTATCTCCAAAACAGCAACATCACTTCTGAGCTACTCCACGGGGAAGCTAATTAATTCTCTGAAACTAGAAAATATTTCGAAGTTTCACAGTACTTTAAAGGCACTCAAGAACACTAATATGTGTAATAAAAACATTATTACTACTTCCCTGACATATAAATGGTGAATAATCCCCTCTTAATGTCTTTGTTGTGAATATACTCAACACATATTGTTGGCTCCTTTCTCTTAGGGACACATTGTGGCCTCTTCTAGCTCTATTGTTTACTCACTTTTTAGTGTGGAGAGCTTCTATTAATGCACATTGGTTACCAAGAAGGTGACATGACCTCAGGCTTCCCGGCTTCTGTCTTATTAGTCGGGATGGGTACCCATGGGCAGCAGAAGTGCTCTGACCATATCCTATCATCTTCCTAGCGACCTAACAGTCTAATAGAGATCCTTGTCTGGCTGAATTTTCTGGAAATTTTCTAACCTGTGAGAATCAGGTTAGACCATGGCAGCTGAATCTACCATATGTGAAGCCTACTTGGAATATACATGTTTGTCCACCATCTGCAAAATGAGTCTTAAGCTGTCACACTGGGATAATGTAAGAGGTAGTGGCTCCCTAGATGGCCTTTAGATGGCCTTCTACCCTGGCTTCAGCTATTGGGGCCACTTTTTGCATTCCCTCCCAGGGAACATCTGACTAAAGGTTAGAGACAGCATCTGCTCATACGCTTCCACAGGAGGGTTTCCTCTCAGGAAGTCAAAAGCACCTTACACAATAGAAGTCAGCTTCTAGAAATACAAATTTTGCCTCAAATGTAGAACCCAGCCACAGAAAAGGCACTTGGCTAAATGAAGGCGTCCTGAGGGCAGAGGACTGGGTTGTTTGCCCCTGTACCCTGACAACTCCAAGAGAATTTTGCACGTTTGTGCATTTCCACTTAGTGAGTTCACACGTTTATACCTCCTCCTCACTCCCATTGGAAATAATGAAAAATTACATTTTGCTAACTCATTCTATCTATAAACCAGCCACTGTACTGAAGCACTCTCAGAACCTCACTCAGCTTCTTACAGCCCCGAGGGTGTGGGCCCAGCCGGCTATGGATCAAGAGGACTTGTTCTCATAGATTAAATAGTTTGCTCTAGGGCACCCATGTTCTTTTTGCTGTGATCATGATTTAAACCTAATGTCTCTGAAATGGTTTTTT